GAAAACCAGAAGAATTGTGGGATGACATCAAGAGCTTCATCCATGAAGAAAGCAACAGGTCATTAAAATATGAGAAAGAAAGAAAAGACCAAAATGGATGTCAGAAGAAACTCTGAAACTTGCCTTTGAGCGGGGAGTAGCTAAAGCAAATGGAAGAAATGACAAAAGAGCTGAACAGAAGATTTCAAAGAGCAGCTCGAGCAGCCAAAGCCAATTACTATAATGAAATGTGAAAAGACCTGGAGTTAGAAAACCAAAAGGGAAGAACACACTCAGCATTTGCCAAGCTGAAAGAACTGAAGAAAAAATTTAAGCCTTGAGTTGCAGTATTGAAAGATTCTATGGGCAAACTACTGAATGATGCAGGAAGCATCAAAAGAAGATGGAAGGAATACACAGAGTCACTGTACCAAAAAGAACTGGTTGATCTTCATCCTTTTCAGGTGGTGGCATATGATCAAGAACCAATGGTACTGAAGGAAGAAGTCAAAGCTGCATTGAAAGAACTGGCGAAGAACAAGGGTCCAGGAATTGATGGAATACCCACTGAGATGTTTCAACAAACAGATGCCCCACTGGAGGCACTCACTTGGTTATGCCAACATATTTGGAAGACAGCTACCTGGCCAACTGACTGGAAGAGATCCATATTTGTACATATCCTAAAGAAAGGTGATCCCACAGAATGTGGAAATTATCAAACAATATTAATTTGCATGCAAGTAAAATCTTACTGAAGATAATTCAAAAATGGCTGCAGCAGTATATTGACAGAGAAGTTCCAGAAATGTGAGCTGGATTCAGAAGAGGACGAGGAACGAGGGTTATCATTGCTGATGTCAGATGGATCAGCAAGTGAGAAAAACTGGAATTCCAGAACACTTAATTGTACTCATGAGAAACCTGTACAAAGACCAGAAGGCTGTCATTCAAACAGAAAAAGGGAACACTACATGGTTTAAAATCAAGAAGGGAGTGCATCAGGGTTGTATCTTTTCACCATACTTATTCAATCTGTATGCTGAGCAAATAATCCGAGAGGCTGGACTATACGAAGAACGTGGCATTAGGATTGGAGGAAGAATCATTAACCTGTGATACACTGACAACACAACTTTGCTTGCTGAAAGTAAGGATGACTTGAAGTACTTACTGATAAAGACTGAAGACTACAGTCTGCAGTATGGATTACATCTCAATATAAAGAAAACAAAAATCCTCACAACTGGACCTATAAGCAGCATTAAGATAAATGGAGAAAAGACTGAAATTGTCAAAGACTTC